TTGTATATTATACTTCACTACATATTTATGTAGTAAATTTATTTAATTAGTTTAGGTACCTAGGTATGTTGTATGTCTACTCAAATACTCAATGGACTCATTGTTAAATAAGTATTATATTATTCTAAAATATTATAACAACCTTACCTGAATTTTAAAAAAATTTTCTTTTTATTATTAAATAATTGAGTGTTTGTAAAGTGTAGTTTATTTCAGGTTGGAACTAGGGGGCCCCCAAATTTATGTAAGCCTTAAGGTCCGCGTGCGCGGCACACCCGGTTTTCGCGGCACACCCGGTTTTCGCGGCACTGGATACCAGTTATGTGCAGAGGTGGAACTAGGAATTTTTACGCCCGTGGAAAATGATAAAATTATGCCCTATCATAGATCAATAATCAAATACTTTTCTCGAGAATTTTTTTCCAATAATTAATATACAATCACACTTATTGAGTTTTAACCTAATGACAGTTTTTAACAAAGTTAAAAATATCAAATTAGTTCTAAATAATTACAAAAATTACACACTCTAAAATCTTACGATCGGGGATGGATCCCCATCTTCCACCCCCTAGTTCCACCCTTGGTTATGTATCGATGGTCAACGATTTTTTGCCATCCCTAAATAGGAAAGCTGGTTTTCGACGAGCGTCTTATTGCAGCTTGCCAAATTGGCTGCTACGCGCTCAGCTCTTATTTTCATACCATTTTCACTAAGTAAATTATTGTTGTGACAACAAATTTCTTATAACAGTAGCGCAATCAGGAATTTTTCATGGGGGAGGGGGGGGTCTGACAAAATAAACTAATATACAAATAATAAAAAATTATAATATATATATCTAGAATATGATATTAATATACTATTATACGTACCAAGGGGGGGGGGGTCCAGACCCGTAGTCCACCCCCCTGATTGCGCTACTGTCTTATAACCATTGGTTATAACTTTTGATATTTGAATAATTTCTTCATCTATATTTTAAGACTTGTGTTTTAGTGCGTTTGACCTTCTTCGTTCATAATTGATATAATTTCTGCTAAATTTTTTTTTCTTGCAAAATTTCATTACTATGATAATTTTTTGAACTAAAACCCAAAAGAATTTCTGTTTGGTTTATAATTGTTTGATTTTTTTGAACTTAATGGTGACTATAAATAGCAAACGTATTCATTAACATTTTTTTGTTCTGTTATATTTGTGTCGTAGTAAAAACATTTTTCTGAGGATTGTCATCTAATCTTATGAACTCTCATGTACAAGTATGTACGGATACAAATTCTACACTTTTTGTATATCAAACATGCTGAATGTGTACGTGTTTCATCAGTTTTTATAATATAGTGCTGTTATAAAACATAATAATTTGTTAATATATAATTCAAATTTGCGCGTGAATAATCAGATTATATTAGAAAATAACAGTTCATAATGGTGTGATGAGAGGAGCAGCGCGCGCAGTAGTTAGTGTGCCAAGCTGCAATGAGACTTTTTGATGTTTGGCCCTCATCAATTTTAGGAGATGTACATCATCCCCATATTATACTTTCTCCTCTCCGTCATAATAACCAAATACCGACGCCATACTTGAGCGTCTCCATATTTGCCCACTCGTCGTCATTGCCGTTGTTTTTTCCGTTTATTCATCGACCATCTATTGAACATTTCTTCTAGTACTTCAATATTTAACACTTAAATTACTTCAAAACTTAATGTTCGAACTAAATGTAATGTTATTTGTACATCGGCTACTATCCTTTTAGCTATTATCACCGTTTGACTTACATATTGTCTTTCAATTGTATAAACAACGATTGCGAAAATACTCATTGATTTTTCATGATAAATAACAAATATATTGTGGTTCGATTAAAGAAAAAAATAATAATTTACAAGAATGTCTTGTAGTATAAAAGTGGCAGTAAACTAGATAATAAGCAACCATATTCCATATTTATCAGGTAAAATATTGTCATTTAATTAACTTACTTTGTTTAATAAATTAAATATCAACTATACAGTAGACCTTGAATTAAGTCCATGCGCAAAGGGAGGTGATTTTTGGGAGTTCTAACTCACATAATAGGGATCTTATTATACACGTTTTTACTAAAAATATACCGAGTTCTCATTCAATAAAAATTAAACCGATTTGAAGATTCATACATAGTTGTCTGTTTTTGTTTTAACTTTCTTTGCCAATATTCTCGATTTGACACCTTTTTCTATCTAATTTGCGAGCACTTTCCATCTATTGTCGATTATTGTTGTAAATACAGCTATATATAGAACACATTTTCACAGACAAGTCAGCTATTCAACCTGTTCCGACATTTATTGATTTTCGACCCATATATTTATGATTATGGATATTCAAACGAGTGGTTTTTTTATTGACTTTTAAACTATAATATATAATTTTGAACCCTGCCTTAGATAATTCTTGTATATAGGTCTGCCTTAAATACATACAGTTAAAGACGTATATTTTTAATTTTAATTTCAGTAAAAAAAAAAAAAATTAAAAATTTAATAACAGTAACAGTAATGGTCGGTTTCTTTTCTAACCTCTTCCCCTTATATTATTTTAATTTAATTTGTTTTAGATTCTGAGTGAAACTAAGAATGTATTGGTTTTACTATAGTTTGTGTTGTAGATCTGAGTAAAATGAAGAATGTATTGGTATTATCATTATCTTGTATTTTTTCTGTATTTTTTGTATATGATTTCGAATAGAAATTATTACTCCTATTATTATGAAATAAAAAGTAAAAGACAAGAAATATTGTCTAGTTGGTACTTTAATGATTATTTTAAAAGAGTACCATTTACTTTACAGTATTTTACTTCAATTACTTACTGTACAAATCATTGAGATTTTAATTATTTCATTTTGAAAGTATAGAATTGTTTAATTGTTTAATATTTACTAAACTACTTATTATACAAATAATTATATTATCGGCAATTACTCTATTTGGAATAAACATAACATGACATTTGATAAAATAAAAAATGACTGAAAATAAAATAAAATAATTGATTATAATAAAATGTTATAATAAAATTATAATAATGTCTTATTATAAGACATAATCTAATAATACTTTTTCAGGTCCAAGAATTTGATGACGATAAACATGGTAAATTTAAAACTGTTTAATTCTCATCAACAGTTAAATTGATATGAGTGGACACATGAATCTAACATGCATTATTAACGTAACAAATTCAATAAGGAATTGACAATATAGAAATTTATATTTAAACTCTGAAAATCACTTGTCAATATAAGGTTATTTGTATGCAATATATTTGAAAAAAAAGATTTTTAGTATTATTATTAATCATTTTAAGGGAATATATAAAAGAAACGTCATAATCAAATTAGTTTTTGGAGTTATAGTAGTTTTGTGCTTAATATACCAAAACATTACAACGATAAAAATTAATTTACTGTAATTGGAATCCATTTATGTAAATATGGATTTACCAAGTTCAACACCTACTGATATTGAAAACAAATAAATTTCTGATGCATATTATCAACTATGCCAACGTAACATTACTACAGATAATGAGTTGAATCATTATAGTAAGCCTGACGAATCAGGACTTTTAGGGTATGGTTGTCAATACTGTACAGAAGAAAAATTTAGTTCTCAACAACAATTGGATTTACGTGAAGCACGCGAGGATTTTCGCATTCTGCGGGAATTCTTTTAACAAACCATTCTTTTCATATTGAACTCCACTCCAGTATCTAAATATCATATCATTATGAACAACCTAATTTTAGATGGAACAGCCTCTAGAATGAGTATTTTGTTTTATTATTTCTGGTTTAATTATATCAAGTAGAAATTTGCTCTGGACGATCGGGTAAAGTTTTTAAATAAAAAATCACGTCTAATCGTGAAATCATCTATAATTCCAAAATGTAAAGTTTTTAAATAATTTGTTCGCCTACAAAGAACGGTTTGCATTTGCAATAATCAAGCCGGCTGCACTAACACCGAGAAGTACATGTGAATCCGACAAGTTATTTGTAAACGATCTGGAAGACGACCGCTTTGTGACGTCGCTAGTGCGAACAGAAAAAAAAAACATGCGTCTATTGCGGTGGTTCCCATCTAGGGGGAATTCCCCCGGGGGGAATTTAGATACTGAATGGGGGGAATATATTTTTAATGATATAATAAGAATTTATTGTTGAAATAATTATGTCATTTTACAATCAGTAAAATCGAAAACAAATTAATTTTCGGACTATTTCCCATGGATAACAATTTATTATACGAGTATTTTACGCCTTCTTTGTATGTAATCTAATATTAATACGTACAAAGTTCAATTCGTATGGTTATCAGCTGTCGGTTCCCGATATCAGTTAATGGAATCCAAATATAAGTCAAATAATGCCTTGAAATATTATTGCCAATCATGACTTAACATTTACATGTCAGTTGAGCCTATCTTTTATGATCGTCAATACGTGCATACGTAAAATGTTATTATTTGTATAATATATATATAGTTATTTTGCGAAATTTCCATTGTACGACTTACTAAAAAAAAGGTGATCTTATTTCTAATTTAAAGGAAGAAGGCATGAGAGTTTTGAAAATGTACAAGGGAGGGATGGAATAAAAAAGGTTTGGAACCACTGGTCTATTGCATTCAATAAACACACGCATTAGATGTAAGCGGAATCGAGTGTAGAAACTCAAGTCGAGTTGAAAATTGAAACGGAAAGTGCACGAGTGTAAACACGGTGTTATAACGTTGCACCTACGTCCGAGGTTGATTTATTCCAACGGCCACTTGGTAAATAATTATCTTAAAGCGGTAAACAATGTCCCATACAAATGCTCCATCGCCTAGTGTTGAAATAGTTGTTGAGAAAAAAAATGCGTTACCCACATTTGTTACTTGTTAAAGGGTGTTGTACAATTTTCGCCGATGAATATAATACACTCTTTTCGTGCACTAATTTATTCAAAATGATAGATTAAGTAGTACAGCAGTTGCCTTTTTCACCCAATAATCTGGCGTTTCCGAGCCACTATCGAGGTTCATTACAACTACAAAAGCATCCCTTCCTTGTGTTCCGCACCTTTGTGGGTAATAATATACTGGACATTGATAGTAGCCTGAAAAACGTTACATTCGTAGATTACAATGTAAAAACATGTCTTCGATCTACGTCGTACCTCTTTTCTTCGACGCGGTTAATACGGGTTTGAATTGTATAACTGGTAACTGAGCAATAAACTTCAAAGGTTCTGGTTCACAAATACATGATTTTTCAAAGTTCCAATTGGCTCCTTCCAAGTATAAACTTCGCACGTATACTCCTTCCTGGGCGAATTGAACATTTTCATGATATTGAATTAAAATTGTGCAACAAATTGTATTGGCTTATTATTATTATTATTATTATTATTGATAATAATTACTTGTGGAGGCATGACTATATCCATTTCGGGAATAGTCATCGGTGAGAAATCCCAGTTAAGTAAATCAATTGGTACGGACGAATTACGTGAATGAACCTAAATCCATTTTTAGAAAAGTATTTAAATTGTGAATTTTTATAAATTGTATTGTACAAATAATTGCCTGTAAAACTGCTGTTAGAAAACTAGTCGGATACGTGTAAGCGCCTAACCAAAATAAAACTGGCGGATGAACTTTATCTGCCCATACTTTAAAGTGTTTAATTCTTTCTATTAAGTTTTGAGTCCAAGAGCCCAAGTTCATTAGTGAAGGGTAAGCTGTAATTTTTTATTTTTTTTTTAATTAAAAACATAAAACAACAAAATAGTTGATGTCATTCGTACCTTTTAGCCATTGACCGGGCACTCTACCTTCATATACACATTGAAATATTTCTTCGAGGTCGGATGACATGATGACTAATCCCTTTATTCCTTTTTCTAGGCCGACTAATGAATTTTTTATTTCTTTCAATAAAAAATTATAACGGATTATCTAGATACAGAGTCAAGTAATATTTGTATTAATGGTTTTGTGGTATTAACAGAGTAAATATCCAATTTACTGTATTTAAATATTTAACAAACATCATCTACAGTGGTTTATAGTACTAATATGATTATTACCTCTTGTAAAAGTACCACATTTAATGGACCTTTTTTAAGTCCAATGTTCTTTACGGTAGTATCATAATCTATTAGGTCAGGAATTTTTTTCAATATTTTGGAGCACAAAACTGAAACTTTTTCTTCTTTGTTTTCTTCGGCCACTGCTGACGATTGTCCTTGTAATACTAAGAGAGTTTCACAAACCATGCGATTCGCTTCCATCAGAGAAGCCATTTCAGCATTAGAATGTTGCCCAAATACTTCAGGGTCATCCACATTCGGTAATGTGTCTATGTAGTGTATCTGTGATTCGAGATCTAAATCTTGCGGTATATAATATTTCATCAACGAAGATAATCTGCGTAAATTATAGAAATTATTTATTTATCATTTATATTGATATTTACCCAGTGTTCAATTTTAAATAAAGATTAAAGGCCTAGCGAGCCTTGGCCATTTTTCACATTGTAAAAAAAATAGCTTTAAAACGTATATTTAAGTCTACTAATATATTTATTAATACATTTGATTTTCAGTTTTTTATTTATTTAAATACGCCCTAAAGACAAGAAATACAATACTCATAATTGATACATTTTAGTTTTAATTAATTTACAATCGTAGTAGAAAAATCATGTAAAATAACATTTAAATAATATAAAGGAAAATAATCAAAAATATAGAATAATTAATTATTTATATAATTGACAATATATAATTAATAATTTAGAAACATGTTTAACTATTACGAGTATCTAGGCCTTGATAAAATCTCAAATTATCATAAGCATTACAGGCATTACAGGCCATCAATATTATAATTATTGGTGCCAATATAAAATTAAAAAAAAAAAAAATAGAATACTAAGTTGTACTTATAGTTTGCTTAGTAAAATTTGAAAATAATTATGATTTATTTGCATACTGATAATACTTATAATAGATGATTCTTACAATATTATTTACAAATATAAAAATACCTCAAGTGATATAAGTAATATATTTATATTTTAATACCATATTATGGTACGTAATATTAGTTGATATATATTTATGTTTAATTTACAATAATAATTAAATTTTATTTTAACACAGATAAATAAATAAATTTATAGTTTTTCGGGTCTAAATATTACAAAAATCAAAATAAAATAATTCTGTAAATATAAAAGTGTAACAATAAATTACGTGATCAACAAACATTGGCCGAGAGGTTCATATTTTTGTAACATAAATTTTATTAAACTATTCGTTATGTTCTGTAGCTGTATTTACGATAAGTTTATACCTGTAATAGGGCGTTTTGATTGCATTTTCATTAAAATATTGATTTATGTATGTATCTAAGAGCCTTCTGTCCCAATCGTCTGTAACCTGACCTCCATAACAAATTCCAGCAATTAAATATTTTAAAGCATCCCATGGAGTGTTTGCGTACGTATCCAAATATATGGATAATAGATTTTCCGATACCTAAAGAAATTAGAAAAACAATTTTAACTATTATGAATTTTATCAAGCACTTTACTTGAACTATAAAATTACATATCCGGTATAGGTACCTAGAACATTTAAAGAAAAAATAATAATCATAAATCATTTACCACGAAATCTGAATCGTTAAAACTGTAAATGATGTTCCACCCAAGATTTTGAAATTTCTTTCTTTCGATTAATATCGAGTGGAAAAAACATAACGAGAACAATAACTTAGAATATTTTTCATGTGAAACGCACTTGGAATATTGAACATCGGTTATATTGTTGTACAAACGTTTCATATTTGCTTTCAACCCCTGATTAAAATAATCTATTTTGTTTAATATATTATTGTTGCCGTAAAATGTTATATTTTACTTTTGGTGGTTCGGTTGTCATTTTTATAGCGCTCTGTAAAATGGCGATGGGGAAATCAGGGTTCGGATTTGAACTTAACCACAGCCGGAAGTTCGGGTGAGATCCACCGTCTTGCATAAGTTCGACTATTTTATCCAACTGCGGCATCCACGATAAAGAAAGATGACAGTTAGCGAGAAATACCCAATTTCCATACGTTTGCCCATATTCAATTAATCTAGAAAAAATGTTTATTAAAACATTTATTAAGACAATCGCTCATTTATCTTCGAATTCATTACTTGGTTGCAATAGGTGCTTGACCTTGACCCAGAGACAGAGATTGTAAATTAGTAGATCTACTGAAATTCGCAGCTAAACCAAGTAACATGTTGGTCGGGTCTACTCCAGGTGACAACAAGAATATCAACGGAGTCTTATTACTTGAATCCTCAAAAGCGTTTCTCACATCCAAAACGGGAGGTTCTATAAACCTTGTACTAAGTTTATTTGCAATAAAGTTTGAGATCGCGAACGATAGTCTATCTAATCTAAGGCTTCTCACAAATAACAACTTCTGAAATTCGTTCATATTATCGTTCCATTTCCCTGTTAAAAATGAATGCTATAGGGTTTAATCAATCCGGAATAATAAATAGAGATATTTACCAACGAGACTTAACGTTTCGGGATACGGAGACATATACCATTCTCTCCACTCTCGAGGAAATTGTTCAAATGATTTTTCAATTCCTAAAAACCCTGACAGTTTATCTAGTTCTGTAATGTTATCCCAATTGGAAGGTGGTAACCAAGCTTTATTAAAAATAAAAATAAAAATAAATTATTTTTTTTTCATTTTAATAGAAGCTCGTGAATGTACATTTGCATGGGTTCTCAGTCTGTTCTACTTTATTTAGTACTATTCCGCCCTTGAAAAGAAACTCAATTTCTCTCGTAGACAGTAGATCTTCAGCCAACAATAAACTAATGCATATTTGAAACGAAAATAATAATTTATGAACTTCAAATAGTCCACGGCAAGTATTCTGATAAACTGCATATGTGTGATAATAATTTAAGTATTCCAATCGTAGGTCTAGTTTTTCATGTTTTTCGCTTTTTTCTAATTGAATTCTGAAATAGGTCCATGTACGAATCTAACGAAAATTGATACATTGGATCGATTTGACTGAGTTCATTGAGAACGAAGAATAATATTGACGCTCTTTTAGCACAAGGTCTATAACCCTGTAAAAATCAAATATTTGAATTAGTTTTCATATGCATCATTTCCAACTAAATATTTTTGTAATTTCTATAATTTTTTTTTCTTATGAGTTATATTAGCTTGTGATATTTTTTGGATTTAGACATAATTTGAATAACTTCAAATATATTATTTTGACTATACCTCTCGAGCATAATCGATTTCAGCTTGAGTTATTAATGAGCTTTCAAGTTGTTCATTGATATTTGCCGATGTAACTTTTGAAGACCCTAAAGTATTGTAAAGTTCTTCGTTTTCTAATAAGGATCCTTCAATCTCATTTAAAAGTCTTAAAAGTTCATCTTCCAATTCAACTAAAGTCTTTTTACCATTAGCAATATTAATTATTAAATTATCTTTAAGTATTTTCAGTTCGGGTTTTTCCATTGTGATCACCACATCTAAAAGTTGGTCTTCGAGTCCTTCTTCTTTAATCGCAAAATTAATTACTGCTGCTCTTGTGAAAATTTCAGGTGGGTAATATGGGTTTCTTATTTTGGTTGTTATGAAAAATCTAAAATTATCATTATATGGCAATAGCTTGTCACCCATTTTAATGTAAAGTTGATTTCCTTAAATACCATAGGTTAAAAAAAAAATATCAAAATTGTGTAAATATAAAAAATAAAAAATAATTTTATCAGATACTTACCTTCTTTTACAATGGATTTTGATAAAACTGGCATTATTGCTGGATCAATATTTTCTGAGGTTATTTGTAACAACGTCGGGTACCCTAAATTTAATGCATTTTCTAATATTTTCATATAATTAGGCAAGCAAAAATCAATGAGTTGTAATCTATTATTGGCTTCCATTTTCTTTATCCATTTCAAAGCTTGACATTGTGGGTCTATGATTAATGACCATCGCGATCCTCGACTGATAATTATTCCATTTTCAGTACTTAAATCATCATTGGGTAAACCATGAATATTCCAGTTTCTTATGATGGCTGGGTCCGATAAGAAAGTCTTGATTTCAAATCTTGGATCACTTGGAATTTTCATATCTTTTACTGACTGAATCCATAACTTCAAAAGTATATCTCTATATTTGAATACAAACGGTCCCATGTATGATACGAATGCTATACCAAGTAAACAGTCCCCTGGCAAGTAGTCAAAGTTAATGTCTAATTGTTTTACAGTTGCAGTCCATCTAATTTTTTCTCCGGATAGTCCTTCTATTAATGAAGCTGCTCTTTCAAGATTTCTTTTCAAATCTTCTGCCTACAAAGAAATCGCTTTTGTTAATTTCTACATTTTTATTTATATCTGTACGTTTTTACTTTTTTGACCAACTGCTCTTTTTCTTTCATTTTTTTGTCGAAATCATTTTCCAATTTTATTAGAAGTTCTTGTAGCTCACGTAATGTATTTTGTGCGTTAGATAATGCCAACTGTTTGCTTCTTAGAGAGGCTAATGCTGCATCGGCAGACTGTTTTTTAGGAGCTACAACCCTAAAAAAGTATTTTATTTTTTACCGTATAACTTTAAATGAAACAGAAACTGCTAACAAAAAATTACTTAAAAATAATAGCATATTTCTCAATTGCAATGACCCACTGAGCGAGAGATTTTGCAGCTATCGATTGAGCACCCACTTTTTCTGGTTCAAATTCTGGATTTCTCGTGTATGTACCGATTTTTTTTAGAACTTTTGAAGGTACATGATCTTTATCGAATTCTTTCAACTAAATAATTATATAATTAATGTTTTTCGTACTCATCAATTAAATTTGGTATTTTATTTCATAAAAACTTACTTGTGATAGAAAATTCGGATCACCTAGCTGTTTTTTGGCTTCTGTCCAAGAAGGTTCGGATTGTTTTAATATCATCAAAGCTTCTAGCACCAATTTTACTCTAGCTGGAGGTGTTGAAAATGATTTTACTTCAGCAAGATCTTTTTTATTGAGTGCATTCAACGCCTATTATAATATGTATGATATTTTGAAATAATTTAGTATTCATTTTGATATTGAATACTATTATTACCTCCATAGCTTCTTCTAGCGCAGGCATCGCCTTTTCTAAATCGGCTATCGCTATACTATACAACTCTTGACTTTCGATTTCTTCATGTTTAATCGTAATACTTTGCTCGTCAACTTCTTTTTTTTTTTTATCAGCTATTGAAGTTTGTTCTGTTATAATGTCTAGAAATTCATCACATTCTGTGGTATATTTTGTAACCGTTTCTGTGGCTTTTTCTAATTCTATAGTCATCCCAGCCACTTTTTTACTCGTGCTATCGATTTTGAATAAACCATTCCTTAATTTATTCGCTATACTTGCAACTTCGATGCGTTTTAAACGCAATGACCTATTCGAAGTAACACAATATAATTATATGGTAAAAAAAAATTTAAAAAAATGTTATAAACTTACTCTTTGTATCCTGACACTAATTCTAAATAATTTGTAGGTGTAACATAATTATAGCGTTTTAGTTCTAATAACATTATATTAGAATAATTAGCTACTGAGTGATGAATTATGGAGAATAAATTTGCTATACTAAGTTTTAACTCTTTCTATCAAAATGAAAAAAAAAAATAAAAATTAATAATGAAATCTTTTAAATTATGTTAAATACTAATTTACTTCTGTTCGAATATCTGAATCGACTTCGTATACCTGAAAAATATAAATTGAATATATTTAATGAAATTTAATTATTAACTATTAATAGCTTAATGTATAACCACTGAATGGTTATATATATTTAAAAATGGATCCAAAAATGTATAACATTTTATCAATTGAGAACAGCTGGACCGACTTGGCTCAATTTTATTTTTAATTGTTCGTAATTGCTAGGAGAAGGTTTTTACGAAAAACAATTTTGGAAAATTGCTATTGTTTAATAAATTGTAATTTAATTTAATAATTTTCAACCCGGTCGATAACTACGCAATTGAAAATCAATTATTAAATGGAAATATTAAAAAACTATTAAAAACTATTAATTTTATTTTTGATATTAAATGATGGGTATTACATAAATATTAAATAACAAGATCCCGCAACAGGTATCAAAACAAATAAGAATGTTAGTTCGAAGGATAATTATGCATATCGGTTGATGATTCATGGTCAACATGTATGTAAAGATAGAGATCGAACGATTTCGATACTTGCGATTCAATCAAAATCATATTTTTCATACATATAATTTTATACGTGGCGTGCTCTAAAAACATACAGTTTGTGTTAGTGAAAGACGGGATAGCAAAAAGTATTGTACACTCTGTTACATTAAGGGATAGATATTGTTTTTTACTAATATTATCATAACTAACGATATATATAATTTTAAAGGATTAACTTTAAAAAATTATTAAAAAAAATAAATGTTTGATGTTTTTTTATTTTTATACTCCGTCACCATTTACAGCACTCCATACCTCTTCCACTTGTATACCACATCTTTACACACTTATATTAATATCGTTATTTTTTTCTAGCAAAATATTCTCTAGAATTAATTTATATGACAAAACAACGTTGTAGGGTCAACTAGTATATTATAAAAACTGTTGTTTTAATATAATGAATGCATTTAAATCATTAGTTAATTGATAACCAGGTATAATAAATAATACGTTTTACTACTTTTTACTTATTTCTTTTAATATCTATAATATAATGTTACATAAAACACATAGTTTTCATTACAGGTGAATGTCAAGTTCCTACACGAAAAAAGTATACTGCTACGTAACTTACCATTAGATTAAAAAATATTACAAATACGAAATTCCCTCCCACCTTATTCAAACTTACGACTAATAATATGGTTGACATGATTAAAATTAGTTTTTTATTTTTTTAAAAAAAAATTTAATTCGATTTTTAATTGAATCTTGTCTTTATATAATAATATATCGTTATCCACATATTATACGTATTTAATATGATAGTAATATATATATATAATTATAATGATAATGATAATCATATAAATTAAATTTGATTTGACTTATTACGAAAACTCAAACTTTTAACATAATCATAATGTGTTATTTGTTGTAAGTTGTATTCTAATATTTTGTTGCTAATATAATGCTGTTTATTCTGCTTATTTGTTGAGGTCTCTTACTCTATCTGATGATCTTATTTTAACATATGTATTTGTTTGAAGCATTTTTAAGAACTCTATAATTTTAATTTTATGTTAGGATGATGACAATAAATTTTAGTTGAATTCTGAGTAAAACCATTCATAAGAATTTGTAGTAAGACTTACAAGAACTAGCATTTGCCCAAATACTACGTGGAAAAATACTATTTTCTTCAACGTAATTTATTGCTAAGTTATCGCAAAGTTTGTTTATTTTATAATTATCTGGTTTTTCAACCATTAAACATAATATTTAACATATATTTACAATATTTAGACGCAAATAATCTTTATGGGTGGGCAATGAGTAAATGCTTACCTTCTAGAGGATTTAAGTGGGTTAATACAGAGGTAGATGTAACACATATTAATATGAATTTACCCAAGGGTTATATTTTTTAAGTCGATTTAGCTGATCCTAAAGAACTCCACGATAAATATTCAGATTTCCCTTCAGCTCCAGAAAATTAAATCGACGATTTAAAACTACTTAAGTCAACCTTAAATTTATACGACAAGAAAAAACACGTATTCCATTATATAACTCTGCAAGAATACATTTGAAATGGTGTGAAAATAAAAAAATTTCATAAAGTCTTAGAGTTTGATCATTCTCCTTGGTTAAAATCTTTTATCAATTTGAACACAAATCTCAGAACAAAAGCTCGAAATAATTTTGAAAATAATTTCTATAAATTAATAAATAAAAGTGTGTAGAACAATGATGTACGTGAGAAACCACGTTGACATTAAATTGGTTACAGACGATTACAGACGGACTAGATTAGAAATATTTATTTCTAAACAAAATTTCGATAACTTTTACCTGCTTTGCTTTGTGTGAGATTTTAATATTCCCCTTCGTTATAGCCCTTTATGCATAGGTACACATTACGTTTTATATTCCCTCGAACAGATTAATTTTAATCGAACTTAAATGTTTTTTTCTATTTAATGTTATTTCATAAAACGTATGACTTAATATTTTGAACTTACTCTTGGGTTACCAGTTATAGTTTCCAATATTTCTAATGTGCTGAGAGATCGAAAAGCCACTTCAAGTAAGGCTTCTTTTGGCCAATCCAAAAACCAATCTACTGTTGTACAATTTATCAGTGAGGGATATTGTCGCAACCGCATGCTAAATTTTAGAATAAATAAAATTGGACACAGAATTTCGAAATAATAATTATTTACTTTCATATTTATAATTATTCATTTGTATTATTCGACTACATTTAAAATATTAGCAAAATATTATTAATCAGCATGCTAAAAACGTTTCACACATTAACGAATTAATGACACTATAATGAATAAATGTAATTCTAACTAACCGAAATTTGTTTCCGATCGGACTGAGACAAATAATAACGTGCAGATTACCCCGGACCCGATCCAAGAAAAACGAATACATGGCATCGGTCGCTTCTGGAACACCTTCTTTTTTAGCGATGGCCGACAACGCGTCTTTGATCTGTGAAGTGCAATGCATACATGTTATGTATTCGTAATTTTTAACGATCGGAAGTTGCAATCAATAATCATTACTTCTTCGAAATCTTCTTCTTTGTACAACTTGGACACTTCACCTGTGCTCAGTATGTTGTTAATTATCTCCAGAAAAATCTCGTTTGCGATCTGTGTGTCACTGAACAAAAACGACGTCTGTAGATCTCGCACTCCCGTGTCGTAGTACAGACGTTTCAAGTCCTCTTTGAAATCATTCACGCCGTACGTTTTAGTCAGTTCAATCGTGAACATGTTGTAGCCGCACAGCCAGTTTGCAACCCTCGCGAGTGAAGATCGACCCGATCCTCCTGCGGGCGAACGATGACGTGTAAGGATCGTGTAACTATTAATCGATAGCCGACACTAAAACATTACCTATGCCGACCAGCAGTATGTAGCCCCTCGGTTGCGATATCACTCTGTTGATACGGCAAACGTGGTTGATCGCGTCCTTGAACAGCACGAGGCTTAGTGGCACCACGCCCGTGTTGGAATTGTATTCGTCTAAGCTGTCGTAGATGAACTGACGAAGATAATTCTCGTCGGTGACCTCCTCGTACACCGACTGGTTGTTCAAGAAATCGCAAAACATCAGAGTACGGGACGATGGACACAGGTTTCGATACGTTTCTTCGTAATGCTTTCCTAGCAACACGTTTACCTGATCCATGAACCATTCCTGATCCCTGCGAAGTAGACCGCGGCGGTATGTTAGTAACGACCACGTATTAACTGCGTTTTTTCTCGCGGAAAACGCGCATATACATTTTTTTTTTTAAACGTTTTACGTACTTTTCGTCGATCAACTTGTCGTTAAATACGCGGAACACTTCGTTGCACCACAGCCGCAACATCGATTCAATGTTTTTTTGGCTACCGACACTGCTACGCAACAGGCCTTGAAATACCTGTCGACAAGAAACACGATGCATCATTGCACTTATTGCAAGTACACCAAATATATTATTTAAGTTCCGTTTATAGACACAGTTTTTGGTCATCAACAATAAACGCGTTAAATATGATTTATATATACAGTTTCGTAGCGTAAACGGTGTATAACTTTATATAGGCGCACACGAACCTGTATTTCAAACATGTCTACAACACTTCTGAACCCTGCCCTAACGAAACGTGTATATAATAAACTGTAGCGTTCAAGTAATTAAATAGACAGTTTATGTTTAATGTTGCAGTGTATTAGACCCAACGAATAAGTTTTCTTCGAACCTCGCATGTTTTTTTTCGAGCAGTTAAATTAATTTGTGATTTTTACTTTTACGGTAAAGCTGTTGTATCATCGCAGTAAGTTTTCGCACGGAAGTTTAGAAAAAAATTCACTTTCTTCATAACGGAACACCGCGTTTCGTATTCTATTACGTTTTACCGAATGTTTTAGAACGGATCGCGTTCGATCTCAAATCAGTCGAACACACCCACTTCCCCCGCGCACGTGCCCACTGTATGCGATCAAAACACGTCCGCGACGAACGTTGCGCTACGCACTTTGGATATGTCCCTCAAGTTGAACAAGTAGTGCATTTTCGCCGGTGTCGGCAGCAGGTTGGCCACCACGGCTTTGTATAGCGCGATCGTCATCTCGGTCAACCCGAACCCTGCGGATGAGATTCGCGTTAGTGTTTTCGAACGTGCTTCGCGTTTTTTTTCGACCGTTACTCATGTTGCGCATGTACTCCTCGAACGGTTTCATGTGCTGGTTCAACATCGAGTTGAAGATGTACGATATTTGCGATTCCTCCGGGAATGTCAGGTTGATCACGCTGAAGCAGCTGGTCAACCGGTTGCTAACGGTGTTCCTGCCGCCACCCGGCGGGCCCATGGCACCGATCAGCACCATGTTCTTGACGTTCTTCAGCATCCGATTGCTGCGGTCGTACCAGTAACCATAGTCTATCCACTGCCGGATCAGCTCCAGCGGCGGCTGAGCTCCGTAAACCTCTTTCTCCGGCATGTTAAGGTCGTCCAAGAACGTGATCATTGTTTTGTCTGAAAAACCGAAACGGTACAATCGCTGGCGCTCGAACGCGATCCGAGTAGAGGACGGTTGTGATTGGATTGAACCGTGCGCACCCGAAATGGGCACGAACGTTTCACACGGGGCGATTTCCTAACGACCGGCCAAATTTCGTTTGGACCAACGAATTTGAGGTTTATGTAATTTGGAAGAACTTTTATGAAACTTATATGGACTAATGCGTTTTCTTTCCCGTTTTCAAAGAACTTTCAATTGAATATATTTGATATGATCAAGAATGTATTATATTGTCGTATAATTTATCACATTTATTAACTGCGTTTTTTTATTACTAATGTATCTCATACCCTCATTAATTTAATGTAATCAATTGTTGTTAATTTTTTGATTTAATATTCTTTCCATAATTTCAATGTATATTTTTGTTTTCCTTTAGAATTATTACGTAATATAGTGATTTTTTGTTTTTGATAGAATTCATTTTTAATAAGGTTTCTATTTGAATTTCTTTCTAAATATGATTTACTTGATAAATATTAGGATGCGGATGAAAAAATGGTGAGTCATAATTACCGTAAAATGATTCAGCCCCATTAGTAGTACGACATTATTGAATAATTTTTGTTAATTCTCTATTATTCAACAATTTATATTCGCCTAAGGGATTGGTTAGTTTCTCGCCCAAGTGATATGTGCTCCACTCAGGTGAATTTCGGGTCATTCGCCTAAAGTAATGACGCTCAGCAGAAGAACGTCGGTAGAGGTATCTTACTCCACTCGGACCCGTCAAGTTCCCTCAACGTTAGGTTAAAAAATTAACGATAATTATTTTTGCTACTATCGATAACGTGAATAAAAAAAAAAGTTCCGACCACGATCCAACGTTATTGTTTAAAACTTTTAGTCCAGAATTTCGTGTTCGATCACTTCTCGAAAACAACTATTTGATTTGTGTACAACCCGTTTTACACGATTTATAACACGACTGCGGTTCTTTTCAATTACGTTCAACAATCCCTACGGTTTTCGCAAACTAGCCCAAACACCCAAAATGTACGCACCCGTGTTGGTGTTGCGTTAGTACCGTTTTCGGGATTAGGACGGTACTTCGTTCACACGTGCGTTTCGACCACGTTAGGTGACCAACGATAGGGTCTGTTAGTCTTTGAAAGGGGCTTACTCGCGAGCGGCATGTACAAGTCCTTCGTCCGCTTTTCTAACCGTCCGTCGAGTGTCTCTTGGACGTTGTGCACCGTGGTCTGCGCGGACATGTTGATCGTGAGGATCAGGAATTTGTTCTTATCGAACGCATCCAATACTTTTTGCACCGTGGACGTCTTACCCGTGCCGACCGGACCGACCAGCAGCACCGGCTGTTCCCTGCTCATCAACGCTCCCACCAGGTAGTTATAACGGACCGTGTCGACGGTGGGCACGATTATTTTGAAGAACGGTAAACTAGAAAACCCAAACGATAGCGTTTACAGTCTGCGCGAAATGTGCACTTTTTGTCACGCGCGAAGGGTCCGTACTCCGATTTGTACGTCCAGTTCTCGTCCCGCAGGAACAGGTCCCAATGACGGAAATATCCCGCGACCGGATCCACGTAGTAATGGTAAACCGAATCGCCGATCGGGTACTCGTTCAGTTTGCTCCTCAGGAAGTGGTCGATCTTTTTACGGCCATGCTCGTTTACCACCGCACAGACAGACCAAACCATGCTACAAAACGATTGTTTCGATTTTGCACTCGTCGACACGGGACTATACGCGCCCGCTGGATAAAATCCCACCCAGCCCAAGATTAAAATTGTAAGGGCCAAAACAATGTGTATCTAAAAATAGATGAGAACAAAATCAAATACTATAGAGATCGGTACTCGGGAGAATTTATAGTTTTAAGCGATATGCAGTCATATGTAAACATTGTAAACAAATAAATACGTTCAAAATCATACATTTTAGGTGATCTAAAAATATAATACATTTTATTAAAATTCATAAACGGATCTCAATAAAATTATGTTGTAATTAATACGCGTGGTATTAAATTAACAATAGTTTTGAAACGAAAATTTCCAGTAAGGGCTACGGTCCTTTTGGCCCTCCCCTGCGGGCGCGCATGTACGGGACGGGTCAGTAGGTTTACGAGGTGCTACTTTGATTTTTTTCTCACCAAAACAAGAACCACAGTTTCAGTAGTTGATTGTACTTTTCTATATACAACCCTTCGGGAACTTCGACCGCCAAATCGCTGAACGTAAAACATTCTAGTAACTTGCACAACGATTGGATGCCACTTAACTCCGGTAATGGAATTGTTTCGATACAATTCAACCTTTTGAACTCAAGAACAATGTCCAGGTATTTTTGAAAATTTGTCCTGATCTATAAAAGCATACATTATGACAGTACGAGAGCATTGCGGTCATTGCTATTATTGTTTTCTAATCAAGTTATAGTTCTCGATCAGACATACGTTTTCCCTGTACGGTTCAAATTTACATTCGTTCAACCACGAGTCCACGTACAGTCTCCAGCCGAAATCTTTATAATCATTGTAAATGATACCACACCTAGAAACGGTCGCCGGAGAGGCAACGGCCAAGTCTTCCACTTCGAAAAGAAGTGACACCTAATGGAACATTAGTCGTTAACATTCCATAATACTCGTGTGCTCTATTATTATTTCATTGTAAAACAATGGTTTTGCTTAATATTCTATTAAATTCATAGGATAAACTAGGAATTTTTACGCTCGGGGAAAATGTTAAGACTACGCCTTATCATAGACCAAAAATCAAATACCTGTAGTTGGTTTTCTTATATTACCGTACAATCATACTTATCTGTATATATAAAACAGTGAGCTCATTGATTGTTTAATCAACGCACAGCTCAAACCATAAAACGGATCGAGCTGGAATTTGGCATACTGATAGCTATTATGATGTAGGAGTGTACTAAGAAAGGAGTTTTTAAAATTCTACCTCTATGAGCGTTATAAGGGTTAAAAAATTGTAAATATGGGAAAAATCACCTAGCCAAAACCGCTGAAGCTATGAGAATGAAATATAGTCAGTAGTTTTGTTTCACAATGTAGACATCCATTAAGAATAGATTTTTTAAAATTCAACTCCAAGGAAGTTAAGTTAAAGGGTTAGAAAGTATAAAAATTAAAAAAAAAAAATTAAAATTTCTTAATCAATTTGATTTTAGCGAAAGTTAAAAGTACTCGAAACATTGCCATAGCTGTAGCATCTTATGGAATCACAGCTACACTGCTCAAGGGTGGTCGAACTGCCCATGTTATCTTCAAACTACCACTCAATCTAATAACATCGGTCACTTCCGTTTGTAATATATTAAAACAAAGTAATTTCATGGAAGATTTAAAAAATACAAAAATAATAGTGCGGAATATAATGGAATGGTTGCGTGAACGTGCTATACTCACTCCAAAAAATGACCAACCGGTGTCTACCAATGTTACATTGCTGATGTCTTTTGAAAGGAAAGAAAAAGTATATACCAGTATATAAAGTATATAAAGTATATGTTACTTCGATAAATATGGTGGTCAATATAGTTAATACAACTAATAATCCGGTTGAATTTTTAAATTGATTGAAATCACCGCGTATGCCATATCATAAGCTTATTCTACGTGTGAACACACCTATTATGTTATCGCGAAATTTGAAACTATCTTAACTGTGCAATGGTACCAGGCTTAAAGTCAAAGCTTGACATCGCAATATAGTGGAAGCCATAATTTTAACTGGATGAAAGGAGAAAATGTGTTTATACCACGAATCCCTTTAATTCCGAACGATCTTCCGTTAGAATTTAAACGATTACAGTTTTCTCTCAAAGTCTGCTTTGCAATGACTATAAACAAGTTTCAAGGACAGACTCAAATTTGCAGGAATAGACTAGCGAGAAAACTGATTTTCACATGAGCAGTTCTACGTAGCTCGCTCACGCGTAAACTCACCCAGTAGTTTGGTGATTTCGTCACCTACTAATAGATCAGCGAAGAATATTGTCTACGGAAAAATTTTTTAGATAACATTTTGAAAAACTATTAGTAAAACATTTATTTTAAACCTGATTGCTAAAAACTATAACTTATAGAATAGGTTATGACAGTATTTCCCAAACTTTTTCGCTTCATTGCAGCCTTTTTTATCTAAGGTTTTTTCAAGGTGCCTTCTCCAAGTCATGACTAATCATAAGGAAAATTTTAGACCAGATAGTATTTTATGACAGCGCGGAGCCCCTGTACAGACATCGCGGCGCACATTTTGAGAACCGATGGGTTATGATAATAATTATTATCTTAAAAACTAAATTAATATTTATAAAGCATTGTTTCAACAAACTTAATTAATTTAAATTTTAATAGATTAAACAAAATTTAATCTTGCTAGGTAACATAGATTTTTATATTTAAACTCGGCAATGACGGGTACTTCAGCTAGTTAAGTATAAACGCATTATCAGTAACAAAGTAAAAATATCAAATCAGTAGTCAATAATTAAATATGTACTACAGAAATTACATCCTCTAAAATTTTACGCCAGTGATGAATCTGGTCTTCTTCCCCCTAGTTCCGCTATTGATTATATTTGAGATGTCGTCTTACCTGTTCGGGCATCGTAATTCGTTCACTATTTATCAGCGTTAATACTTTGTTGTCATCCATCACAGAATTCATGTTCTCAATCCATATCGCATCGACTGGTCCATCGAATATTATCCATTTCTGTTCGATTCCAATATCTAACAGTTCATTCGGAACCGTTGGAACAATTAAAAATTATATTCAACTTTTTGTTCATATAAATCATGTCACTTTTATTATAAAATCATTTTCAAGTTTTTACACTATTTTATTTGATAAAATAAAAACAAAAATTGTTTTTGATTTACCCAGATTTACGTTTTTATCGAATATTATATTCATATACGTTATTTTTGACGAAATAATTATTGATTTCTATGTTTTCATAATTTTGAATTTAATCGAAGCCAAATATTTTAAATTTACTCAGATGTTCGTTCTTATTAAATATATTCAAATACATCACGGTATTTGTTCGTATATTTTATATGATTATTACAGAGTCATAGTTTTTTTTTTTTTTTTTTTTATGAATACGTTATTATCTCTAAATATTTATGTGTAATGGTGTATTTTCAAATTTTTGGCGGAGGAGTTAACGTTTTTCTAAACAATAAGTGATTTTATAATATTATAAGAAATAGCATACATTATTAATACCTATAACAACACATATGCAAAAAATTTATTCTTATACAATCATTACAACAACACAGTATAAATTAATGTTCTCTTACTCTATACCTTCGTAACTAGTCATTTATGATCTTTGAACCTTTTTTTTATTCTAGGGGAGGGAGAGTCGAGACCCGGAAACCTCTTTCGAAAATACGCCATTGCTTATACACCAAATTGGACATTGTATATTTTATTTATCATTTTTCAATGTTATTTTGATATGATTTACGATTACTAGATTACCTGAACAAATTGTACGCATTAAAGACGACAATACACCGTCCGTCCAATCTTGAGTACTCAAATTATATTCACCGTACAATTCACCGAGTGTAAGTGCTTTGGGGTTCAAAGGATATACCTGTAATAATATTTAAAATTTTAATGAAATGGAATATAATATAAAATCTGAAAGTTCAAAAATATAATCTCTTGGTCTTTTTATACACCAGTTAAATGATAATGTTAGTGAAACGCCAATTATATAATTTTCATATATAAATATTATATGTATATTAATACAATTTTACTATGCATCAGTAGATCTATTAATTATTTATTACGCTATACCGATGGTGGTAACTAAAGTTTTCGGGAACACGAGAAAACACTAATTATCTAAGGGAATTATTAACTTGAAATACCACTATCTCAAATTCTAATAATAATTGTTGTACGTGAATATTGCTCTCCTCGTTAATATATTATTCAACTTAACCAACCTTTCATTTATAACAATAATCTTAAACTTACAATGACGGTTTCGAAGCCATCCACTTTCTCTTTCTTTAACAATATCATTGATTCCCTTAACGTTTTCCAACTAGAAGTTTTTGCTGTTCCCGTTTGTCCTAGTATCATAACGGAATGCCTGGAAATTTTCGTTTCGTACAACTGGACGATTTTGGCAATCGCGGAGTCTGACGGTTGATGATTCTTATTCAACATGCACTGTTTTATAGCGCTAACGAGTACGTCGTTTTTGATCACCGGTAAAACAATTTTAGGAAACAAATCCTTCGTGATGCCCATAAATAGCGGAAGATCATCTGCAGTGAGCTTTGCTAAGTTCATGTTGTGCATTGCTAACAGTAGCACCTATAAACAGTTTTGTTTAGTATTCAAATGATTGCGATTAAATAATATTTTCGGTATTCAAAATGTTTTTAAATAGTTTACGACAGATATATTTTAGATGCTTAAAGATACTTATTTTCGTATTTTATTCCAAAATATTAAGTAGGTTTTTTTTCTTTATTTAAGCGTTGTATTTCAATATTTTCGTAGATAGATTTTGTTCCTAAAATATTATTTATTTATAATGGTTCTAACTAGTAAGAATTTATAAATAAGAATTCATCAAGTAAGCAGATAACAGAATGATACCGTCCAATCATAGGGATTTATTAATTTATTTTTTTAAAAAAAAACTATCTTTTGACTCCACCCGGCTATTGAATCTACCGAATTCTGTTCATAAAAATTTTATAAAAAATTTATAATGTAATCATATATATGTAATCAATAGATGAATAATAAAAATATTTCAATGTTTACATATGTAAGGAATTCGTTTCTAAATATTACCAAAAGTAATTTGTTATTATTAAAATGTAACATTATAATTATTATTATACTAAACAATTTTTTTTTGACATTTAAGTATATTTGTATTTATTTATATTTTAAAAAAATAGGTAAATCAATTTTTACAATTTTTTATTTATTAATTTTCCTCTATAAATATAATAAACCGAAAATAGAAGCCGTCAGAATCGAGAGTTGAATTTTATGAACTGAAGCCGGCGGAATCAATATACGCCCCCAATAATACGTTTCCAATGCTCCCGTGGGTCCCGCATGCCATGACACACGAAACCACTGGTTCGATTAGTCTTTATCTTGTACCTACAGTCATATTTTACAAGCCATAATAAAAAAAAGTACCTGAGTAGTTTGAATACTTGTAAAAATTACTAATATTCGTGTGTGCAAATATATTGAAAACGACGGGTTCGAATACGTGTTTTGAATACAATCTAGACACCGCTAAGCAGGCACTTGAACACGTATTCCGAACCGGTTCGAAAAGTATTCTTAGCAGAACTGCGGTTACGGACGACACAGCGTGGCTTCAAGAGGAGGGGAACTAGGGCTATGTCCTCCCAGGCTTTTAAAAAATTTAAATTTGTTTATACATTTTTGTCCATGTCAACTGTGAAATCCCGATTATTTACTATATTTACTATTTATTTAGATACCTTTCTAACAATTTTATTTGGCCTAAAACACCATATTACGACATTTATATGAGGTGTGTATCATAATTGTGATCAGATTCTGTATCTCAGTACTAATATGGAGAAATAACCATAATCAGTTAATACTTAAAATACTTCCCCCCCCCCCACAAGTCTCTGAAGCTGCGCCTGACGATATGGCGACACTGCGACGTGTGCGCGAAAAGCGTATTCCCGTCGAACGCGTTCGTTTTAGCGATTTCAGCGACGCTGGCACGCGTGGGTACCTCGTTGTCGGGCATTTTCGAATTCTGACGTCTGCACTGGCCGGCGTACCTCAGCAGCGCGACCAGGCCCCGGAGCCCAAACTCGTAGTGATCTTGTTTGCTGAGCTGCTGACGGCACAGCACGAACAGCACGTACACCTTGTTGGCCAGGTTCCTAGTGTCCCGGAAACCCTCGCCGAACAGCATTATTTCTGCGATCAGCTTGGTGTCCGGCACCATCATGGATATGGCACGGAACAGCGACTTGAGGTTGTCCGGCAGCTCCGTTCTACCCGCGTACCCGGGGTTCATCGTTATGAATATGCCACACGTGGGCACCAGATTGATCTTGTCGCCGTTGAACATGAACATATGCGAGCCGATCGCCAGGGCCGTGTATATGGACAGTATCTGTTGCGCTACGACCGACAGCACCTCGATGTTGATCCGGTTGAACTCGTCGAAGCAGCCCCAAGCGCCCTGTTGAGCGAGCCCTGTGTTGTTCGGTTGTCGCCAGCGCCACCCGAGGAACGCAAGGGACACCACGGAACGGGGGCAAACACGCGTGTTACAATTGGGTTTTGTTGGCGATAAAACGTGCGCGACGTACCGGAAAACATGCGGCCCATGCTCTTGTAGTCCAACCCATCGGAACAGTTGATGACGATCACATAGTACGCCAGGTTCTTACCCAGGTCTTTCACGGTTTCCGTCTTACCCGTGCCCGCCGGACCTTTTGGACTGCCACCCCGGAACAAGTGCAGCGCCGTGGTCAGCGTGATGTAACATCTGTCGGTCAGCGGCGTGATCACCAGTCGTCCCGAGTTGCCCAAATATTCGTAACCATAACTCTGTTCGGTGTTCGTTTGCTTGATGGTGATCGTTTCCCACTTATCGTTCCAATAAAAACGTAACTGCGACATCCACTCGAAATCGGACTCGTCCATGCAATCTATACGTACGCGCAAGACCAGCCAAACGTTTCGTAAAACCGTTTCCTTCGATTCAGCGTTTACCCTGATCTCTTTTGTTCTAACATCCTTCCCCCGTGTAAGTATTGAAAAATATCGGTTTTTATCATTAATTCGGAAAAATATCGTTGGACCCTTTTCAGAGATTTAACTTAGGACACCGATTCCTATCTAAAATTTTTTAGTAAACTATATGGAGTACAAATAATATTTGAGTCTAAAATAAAAGTTATGACTATTCGCAACTTCCCAACAACATAAGCGCCCACCATCCACCACTAGGATTGGATAACATTTATTTTCTGTTGATTACATGCCAACAATTAATGTTGAACTTACTGGATTTGTACATTTTGTCGATCACGTCTCTGGCGTGTATTTCGATGGTGACCAATGCGACAATCTTCAGCCGGTCGATTTTCGCCAGGTCGCCCCGAAGCGCGTCGGAAAACTTGATCAAAATCTTTCTCTGTTTCTTGCGGATTCTCTTCAGCGGCTTTTTTGTGCCAATTTTCTTGGCTTGGACTAGCGCTTTTGTACAATTGGCCGTCCATTCGATCTGTAACATCGCGTACGCGTCACGTGTAAATAATAATAATATTTGTAATAGCGACTGCAATGCGGAACATGCCAGAGCTCTGCAATGACAACCGTCACGCACCTGAGACGCTGTAATGCAAAGTTGTCCCGGCCACAACAATATCCATTTGTCGCGAGATTTCGCGTTCTTCCTCAGCGACTCCAACGTGTAATGGAATATCTCTTTCAGCGAAATTCGCATCAAATTCTCTATAACAGTCGATTATCAGTTATGTTCGGTTAGAACACGTGTTATTATTGTTAGTTCGTCCCGAACAGACGTAGAGCAGTACCGATTTCAATGAAATATTCTTCGACCAATATGTTGCAAAAGACCGAGCTTGACCACGCCACGTATTCTCCGTCGGCGGAGTACATTCCGTCTGCGGTATTTTCGATTTTCTTGACGGTGAAATCATATAAAAAAAAATTATGACACACTGATAGTACTATAGTAGTAGTTTACGTAAAATACGATTGCATACATTGATTTTTATCTTGTTGATGTTGTCAAAACATTTTTTTAAATGTGGCTGCAAATGCTCGGGATTCTTCGCTTTCGCCAGTATGTCTAATAAATCGTCGTTGGATATGAAATAAAATCTTGGAAATATTTTCCGCTTTGTTTCCATGTACAATTCAAGTGCCTTCTGAATCTCTTCCAGTTCTTCCTTAATTTTTATTAATTTGTCTAATAATGCTATAATATTTACAACAAAAATGTATTAATCGATATTCTTAGTACTTGTCACCGAAATAATACATTTTGAATGACACGCTCTAAATACATTATTGTCGTTGAACATTTCTGACGTAATATTTTCCCACTCCACTGTTATTCTGTTGTAAATTTTAAGTTCATTCGGAATTTGATTACGAACATCGTCTCCTTTAAATATATTCTAAGGAATGTTTATTAATACAAAAGGTACAATATCTTCATGTTTAAATGAGTAAATTTGGATGACTTACTTCTTGATAAGCGTATTGTCTCTGGACGGAAAGAGTCATTTCCAATACGTCCGTCACAAGAGAAAGTGCTTTTGTCCAGTAGTCGACTTCTTTTAAAAATATAGAAATATATCTATAACCAATAAATTTGGTTGTTATTATTCGACTCTAGTAATAATCATCAAAAATTATATTATCATACTTTGAGCCCTTCATAAAGTACAGTTGTACCAAATGTTCTTCTAGCGTACTTATTATATCTTCAGACGCTTTTATGCAATACATTTTTTTATAGTCATGAAGCACAACATTTAATTTCATGTCGTTCCATACTTCTTTAATTGATTTTAATGTCTACATGAGTTAATAACACAAATGTTTATGTACAAGTTAATTATTATTATTACTGTTTTTTGTTGAACTAAAATGCAAAGATAAAAGTTACGTTCTCTATATTTAATTCCATCGTTGCTTTCTTTGAAATTTCACTTATTTGATCTCCGTATTTTTGCATTTGCATTTGCATTATATATTCCAAAGTAAAGTTGGGATCGGCTTCGGAGAAATTTCTGTTCAAATAATGTAGAAGGTGTACAATATAATACTCATTGAAATGTAGTAAAATTTAAACAACGCTACGTCATAATACATACACTTTGACTACTTCTCGAACTTCATCCCAATGACGTGTGTACATTGCAGTATTTCTTAAGTCATTTATTAGCGGTAAGACACGCCTAAATTTCTCAATGTCGTTCTTGGCGACATTTAAAATTATCCAATTTTCATCTTTTAACAATCTTATTGAGCTGTTTAATTCCTTGAAAATACTTTGAATAGTAACTTCCATTTCTGATATGTTGATTTCCCAAAAGTTGTCTATCTTATATTTACTCCACATACTATCCCATTCGTAGACAATCATAAAAATTTTTTTGGAAAAATTTAATATCCTAAAAACAATTTTATTTTTAATATTTTACACATTGTTTAGTAAGTGAAATTCTAAACAGCGAACAATAAATTACTAGTAGCTTATCGATGTATAGTTATAGATATAGATAGGTATTCAATAATTTGATGCAGAGAATTATATAAGGATTGATTTTATACTCATAAAAATTATTTTAAAAAAATCGAAAAAACATTTAGAAACAAATCGTTGTAGCAAATACGTCAAAAACAAATTCGATTTATTTTATCTTAAGTTCTTAAAGTTATACTTATTCTCACTTCAATAATATCCTTGTCCGGTTGTTGAAAATGTTTTAACTTCAAAAGTTCAAGATCTGCTATTAACTGATTTTCCCTCTCTTTCATTTTTTCATATTTCTGTTCAATTTTACGTACACCATTTAAAGCATCTGTAACGAAATTTTAGTAAAATGTATATAGTCCTTGACATTTATCGTTTTTCTAGTAAAATTAAAAAAATCAAAGTGTGAAACTCAGGCCGAATGGTGAACTCCACGGTTGTAGGATGATTCAAAGCTTTATTGGTTTCTTAAAACATGAAATCCATATATCATTGTTTTCAAAAACAAATTTTGAGTGAGATGCTGGTAGATCAGGCTACATATTTAAATAATCTTAATATTTTCATTTTATCAATTTTGTTCAATGTTTATAATTTATTTAATCAAAACTAATACTATGTTTCTGGCATTTGGAAAAAAAAAACGATCTTAAATTTTTAAAATTCGAAAATGTAGAATACCTATAATTAGAACAAACAAATAACTCAAAACAGTGAACCTTATTTTACTAAATAATAAATAAAATATCATTAAATGGGAATTTGTTGAAAAATCTGATTTCATTAATATTTTATTATAAAATGTTTATAAATCATTTTGTAACTTTCCCGTACATTTATTTATAATTAGAAAGAAAATCTTATGAAAATATCGTATCAAATTTTCAAGATTTAATTAAATACATGAGTGATTTCATGAATTTTTAACAACAAAAATATAATAAATTTTCATGATTTTCGTTTTTATCTTTTTTTTTTTTAATGAAGCTTACATGCAATTGTTTGAGGAACTTTGTGTTAAACTTACAAGACTTTTTGTAAAACAAATATTATTTTTCGACATTTTTGAAAAAACTTAAGACCACAATAGAATTTCAATTTCATGTAAATAACTCAAAAATACATTTTTTAAAATTTTATTAAACATAGAAAATCGTGATATAATAATTTAGAGTAATATCAAGTCCACGGTTATTATTTTTTTGTGTTATGATTTAATACTAAAATTAAATTTTTTCGAAAACCACTATGTTGTAAATGTTGTTGTACATTTTAACTTTTCGTCAGTTTTTGTTAATTGTTCGGAAAACTGTTCAAAAGAAAAAAAAAAATGATCTCCTTCCAAGTAATAATTAGAACCCATATCATATATTTAATTTTTTATTTGGTAATGATCTATCCTTGTAGTTGAAATCGGGTACACGGACAAGAGGGTAGAAAATCGTTATGATAAAACCAGTTCACTCCTCGTTTTACTCCTAATCTAAAATTGTGTATGCCTGTAATAATCATACATACTTAACGCAGCGATTGTTTCAATAATAACACGATTAAAACATTAACATTATTGACTACAGGGAGTGTTCTGTTTCGCGGCTACGTTGTTAAACGAACTATTTGACGTAATTTCGGTACGCCGATTCTATACGTACCGATCGACACTAAGTCTTTGTTTCTTGATTCGGTTTGCTTGAATTCCTCCCAGATCTGTCGAAATTGTTGAACTTCTTTTTTGAACTCCTCCTGTTGGAGCTGCAACATGGCTTTGAATTCGAGATGTTTTTCTTTCAACATGATTTCCGCTTTGTTCAACAGGTTCGTGTACGAATTCCACGAGTCCCAAAGACCGGCATACCTATCGTCCATCGCTTTCGTGGTTTTTATGCCGTGTTTCTCTGCAAAAAAAATGAAATTTGTCTTCCGTTCAGCAATATTATGTTACTGCGCGGCGGTCGAACACGTCGTTCTGCACCGCAACGCTGCCATCTCACTCAGAACAAAGATGTAGTCCGAAATCAAATCGATCTGCTTGTGTTTTTCGGCGCTTTCTAAAACGAGTTTTTTCTGAAACTGATTGTACTCGACCATCTCGATCAGGGTTTTGGGTGGCGTCATGGCGCTGTCGGATCGAAAAACGCGGTGCGATGCCCGTTACAGTCAGATGATATTAGTTACCTGTTTATGTACGCACCCGGTGGCGCCGGGCATAACGTTTAACGGTCTGGTCACAGCCATCGGATTTACAATCTACGACTCACACCCAGTGCTAGATCTAGAAAATCTGATTCTCGGGGCTAGTTAAAACGCACCGCCCTCGCGTAGGAGAAATTCACGGGGTAGATCCATGGTTTATTTATTTATTTTTTTTCTTATTTTTCGTTAACCAACATCGCCCGGGCTAAGCACACCCACTTACCCTCCAACTTGATTCAACATTTCCCACACCACATGTGGACATATTTTTAAGGGATCGAGAGTTCACCCGTTTCCAAAATCGTTTAATCAATCTTAACGTTCATATAAGCGTTTAGGCACTTGAACGTCTCGGCCGGTAATCATTAAACGGGCTACAGCTATAATTCATAGTCGATCGGAAAAATTCGCTTATCGCTCGTACACTTATCCGCCGAGGTACCACCTGCTCCACCTCGGGAATATGGTAACCTAATAGTAATATTTACGGGAATATGGACCAGACCGGAACTCCGAGTCCGGCGCCACTGCACGTGCACGTTTGCCGTGTTACACTACGCTCACCGTGCACTGTTGGTCATCATGTACTCGTAAAAATCGTCGATCATACCGGTCGTCTCGGCCAGCAGGGTCGCGGAAAAATGATCGATCCAATCGTGACAGTGTTGCAGGATCTGATTCAGAATGCCGTCGGTCCGGATGACGGCGCCCGTCAACGTGAACGCGGTTTCCATGAGTTTGAACACGGTCATGATTTCGTTATACCTGCGCGCGAACCACGGTGAAATACGTCGGCGACTCGGTGCCGGCCTTGTAAAGTACACTCGGGTAAAAGTATTCGAATAAATGTATTTGAATACTTTGCATGCACTCGAGTACGTATTTTAAATAGTTTCGATCCGTATTCAAAAACCAAGCACTATTTTCTAATATTATTTTATAACATTTATTTCAAATCCCTCCACATTAACGTAATAAATTCATTTGCCAATTATATATTTATATTCTAAAATCGATCAATCGTTTATCCGTGCTATATAAATAAAATTAATATTTATTTGTGGCACATTATAAAAATTAAACCTATTCCAAACAATTCCATTAAAAATATCTGGACCTGAGAATCCTATTTTAGTTTAAAACATTATACACTATTATTACAAAATATATATATACTACTCATATCAGTTAACGATTTCATAACGAAATTGGAAATTCGTTTTGTTTTCATTTTCTAATTACATTTTTATCCTGATTAATGGCCTACGAGAACTCTGAACTATTTTATTCGTTGCAGCCATGTAAGACTATGTATAAATAAATTTTTAAAATTATTTCACTTTTTTTTTATGGTTAAAAGGTAAACAATGTTAAAACATATTTACAAATATTTGAAAATATCTATGAATACTCTTTTGAATTATCTATACTTGTATTTGAATACGTTTCCTATCAAGTATTCAAATACGTGTTTTAAATATTTTTGAAAATAGGTATTTATATTTGAATACTTTTAAAATAACTTTGAAAAAATACTTTTATAAGACTGGCTCGTGCCCGGCGCGCCGCAAGTACGTACCGAATTATCTTCTGGTCGTAGTTTTTCGCGGTAGGCGCACCGGCTTTGAACTCCTCCATGTACACGTGCTTCTCCAGCGTCCAAATGTCGTTGTACGCCACTATCTCGTTCTTGTACACTTCGATTTCCTTCAACAGATTATCGATCGCTGCAAACACGAATCGCGACTTGTAGCGTTTATGTAGGGCTGACGGGTAAATGCGGCGTTACGAGTATGCAACCAACCGTTGTGTAATGTCATATAAACCCACAGTTTTATTTAGTAATACGTGATAGGTATTGAATGATTTTATTATAAACTAATATGTTAAAAACGTTTATATCGTTAAAATATAGTATTTGTTAAAAACAATGTTTTTTCCCTACTTAATTATATTTAACTCTTATGTCATTTTAAATTAGACTTATTGAAGAAATAGTAAGAATAGTACCCAGCAGGTATTTAATATTTTTTTGCCAATCGAAAACATGGTGGATGTATGATAAGAGTACTGCTACAAGGCTTTGACATTCTCAATGATAAATGCTGTGAATAACTTATCTAGTTAGTATAGAAGTCTGTACATATACCACGTAGTATCACTTGTGAATCACTGTGATGCGCAATCATGACCTAAAGAAGTCTTGTGCTTTATTTTATTATATGTGTGTGTTTTTTTTTTAAGTTACAACTTCTTTTAGATGGCTACGGGTGTAAGTTTTACACGGAGAAAACATTTTCGTTGTATAATACGAAACGATAATATGCTAAATACATTATAATGTATACTCGTATATTAGAGCTGCAGCGCGGGGTGAGGTGTGAACAGAGTGGTAGAGAAAGCGAAACGGACTTGTGTATATTATTACCAGTATAATATACATATACGCGCATACTGTTAATCAAATTAAATCATCAAGTGGTATAATAATCGACCGGTTACTAATTAACGAAATAACTAGTTCTAGATGATCACACGAGATCCGGTTTTGTGGCCGAGGCCTTTTCGTCCGCACACCTTCTATTAACGCGAGACGTTACTCAAGAGGCGCGGTCGAACGAACCCCGTGGTATGACCAAGGAGCCCGGGTCGTCGTAAGGACCACCAGCACCGAGCTTTCACCCGTATCCTTTCAAACCGCGAACACGAGAACCGTATTGGGACCCGCGATTTCCATTGGGTGTAGTGGTTTTGTTACTATCTTGCGCTGTGCCACTGCCACCACGTTTCAGCCGAGTTAGGCTCCTCAACCTTGGGGGCACCGGGTCCGTAGCGGCTAGGCCGGTCCGGCGTGCGGTGGGGCTCCCCCTTTCGTGGTACCGACTGGGTTTTCAGTTGACGTCGGTGGGTCAACCCGGGGTTTTTGGCCCCTTCCACTATTCTAGCTTCCCAAGCCGGCTAGTGGTAGGCCTTTCTAGATGATCAATGGTAAATCATTTGCTTCCTATGCACTCCCAAACTATAAGACCGAATATTTTTTTTTTTTTCAAACTTATTATACTATCCGTGTAAATGATTTTGGAAAACGAATTCTGGTCCTAACAAAGCGAAAGCGCCTTACGCTCTATAAAGAGTTGGTAATTAGTAAATGTAATTTTTCAACACATAAAGTCACAGCTCGCTATAAAAAGTAGTCACTTCTGTCGGCGCTGTTCAAATGCCGCACATGTTTTCTTTTATCTTTTTAAATTTTTTTCTCGCAAAACTTTGCGTCACCCTCCGAAATAAAACCCCAGATCCGCCTCTTGAACCTGTCCTTCACCTCCCGAGATAGGAAACATATTGTGTATATCCCGATCACCAGCGGGTATGCACCTTGCACGACGTTTGTCTGCAAATTGCAGTTCCTCGGGTCGTCGGCCAAGGCCTGGGCGTAGGACGTCGGGCGCACCATGTCATCGACAACTTTCATCGTCTGCCGCAACCTGGGCACGGTGTCCAGAGCCGACCTGATGTTTAAGTGGATGCGCTCAAAATACGTTTTCAGCAGTGCTGTGCTCGGCGCGATCTCGATCTGGTGACACATCGTCGATACGGGTATCAATATTGGTACTTTTTTCGTCGTAATCAATGGTTCCGGATCCCAAGAAAATTTAGCGCCCGTGGCTGATGAAAACGTAATTTTTGACGGGGTGTGTTCGTGATCCTTTTTTATTTTTAACCGTCTCAAGAAATTCCTTGCGCCAACGCACCCAAAGTGAGCACACCCCCGTTTGCCGTTTCATCACGCCTCCCCTCCCCCTAGATCCGGAACCGATCCCGATTTCGAACGACTTACTCGATTGTCCTCCAGACCAATGTTGATCGTTATTGTCGGTCTCTTCAGTTGCAGCAAAATGTTTTCCATAGAACTCTTCACGTTTACCCTTAGCGCTTCCAATATCCACTGGTCGATCATGTCTATATAGCGCTCCCAAAACGGTTTCATCTGCGTACAACGAATACATTGTTTATCGAATGATTAAAAATAAACTGGTGAGACATTACACCGGGTAGAATGGTATTCTGATCGGTACCGTTCAGTGTCGGTACGGTCAACCTACGTCAGGGGCATAAATCGTAAAGGGGCGCGAAACTGTGTGAAAGTCTTATTTTCGTTCTACCTTCAAAATGGCATTTTTCCGTTACACTTTTTGAAATTTGTGAAATTTGTCCATTTGTACACATTGCGTGTAAATTTATTAACGGAATCACGGAAATAAAGCAAAGGAATTTGTATAGGAGATTTTTATGTGAAAAAATGATCGATGAATTCGTCACAATTGAAGCGGGAAAAGCATATTTCTAATGTTAAAAATTAACATTATGATAATAATTAATAAGTATAAATTTTGTTTTTTAAAAACAATAATCACATTATACAATGTTCTCTGATAAACTAACTGTTGTTAATTATTGTATATATATATTATTGTTATTAACTCTCTAGACATACCGTACTATACTCAGTTATCGACTATAGAATTGGTAAACAACGTTTATTCGGTTTTTGGAGAAATGAAGTATTAATCTATGATATACATTATACATCCGACATAATACAATGACACACGTATTACAGCAGATAAAATAAAAATATCTTAAATTAGGATTTTTTCTAAATCATGTGTACCGATATAAGCATTCGAATTCGTTAGAAAATTGTAATCGAAACATTTACGCACGAAGCTTGAAAAACCGTCCCTTCAGCTAACCGTGTTACACACCTGTTAATCGAACCAGTCGAAAATGTGTGGTTATTTTGTGTGTTTTTGTTTTTTGCATTCAAAAAAGTGACAAGAGACGCGAATATCAACTCATACTTACATGAATGATGCCGTTTTCAAATCTTTCGTATACGATTATTACGTATCTTACGATTT